CTATGTCGCTGGACTTCCATGTAGTTCCCCGCTGTTCGAATCCCGGACCTGGTGACTTAGACTCATGCCGGAGGCATGTGCATTGCCCAAGATCCTGAAAGGAGAATGGAGGAGAATGGGTTGCAAAGTGGCCATTTCCCCTGGGGGGCGATTTTATGCTTTCCATATCTCTGGAGAGTGCATGTGCCCTATAGCAAAAACGTCTCAAAAAAAAAAAAAGAAAGAAAGAAAGAAAGAAAGAAACACATACACACAAACCCCCCCCTCCAAAAAAAAAAAAAAGCCTTTGACTACTTTGATGCCTCCAAGAATTTCCCCTTTGTTTCTTACCAGTAGTTTTATAGTTTGGGGTTTTATGTTTAGATTTGTGATCCATTTTGAGTGCATTTTTGTTAATGGTGGGAAATAGGTGTAGAGTTTAATTTTTCTGCAGAGGGATATCCCGTTTTTTTTCCTGCACCATTTGCTGAAGAGATTTTCTTTTCTCCATTGGATTGTCTCCATCATTAAAAATTCATTGCCTGTATATTTTGGGGTTTATTTCTGGGTTCTACATACTATATGGCCTGTATTTATGCCAGTTCTATGCTGTTTAGATTATGATAGATTGGTAATATATTTTAAAGTCAGGAAGTTAGATAGCCTGGCTGTTCTGCACAGTTTTGCTTTGGTGATATTGGGCTTTTTATAATTTCATACACATTTTATTATTATTTATTTCTGCTTTTGTTAAAATATTTTCTATTTCTCTGGTAATTTGACAAGAATTTCATTCAATTCATAAATTAATTTAGGTAGAATTGACATTTTGATTATATTAATTCTTCCAATCCAGGAACATGGGATGTCTTTCTTTTTTTGTGCTTCATTTCTCATTTCTTTTTTCATTTTTAAAATAGTCTTCCTAAGTACCTTAGTTTTGTTTTGCGGTTATTGTAAGTGAGATTGCTTTCTTCAATTCTACTACTGTCTGTTCATTATTGATATATAAAAATGCTAGGAATTTTTTAATGTTAACTTTGTACTGTGCCACTTTGTTGTATTTATATATCACTTTTAGAAGTTTGTGTGTGTATGTGTGTCTGTGTGTGTGAATTCTATAGGATTTTATTATTGATGTATTAGCATGTCTTTTATAAAGATAATTTTGCTCTTCTTTTCCTATTGAAATGTCTTTTATTTTAGTCTCTTGTCTGATTGCATTGATTAAGGCTTCCAGTACTGTGTTGAAAAGAAGTGGAAAAACGTGGCCACCTTGCTTGGAAAAGTTGAATTTTTCAGATTTAGTATGATGTTAGCTATGGGATTTTTTTGTGTAAAAAAGGTCCATCTATGCCAATTTTGCTGAGTCTTAATGTTGTAGTAATCTAATGCTTTTTCTGCATCAATTAATATAGTCAGAAGGTTTTAAAAAGATCTTTCCTTCTGTTTATGTGATATACATTTATTGTTTTGCATATGTTCACCTTTATATCCATGGAATAAAACCTATCATCTTTTTGACCTGGTGTTGAATATGATTTGCTATAATTTTGTTGAAAAATTTTGTGTTGTATTCATCAGGGATATTGGTCTTTAGTTTTCTTGTTATTTTCTTGTCTATTTTTGGGATCAGAATAATGTGTACTTCATAGAATACATTTGGGAGAGATCTGCTTTTTTGAAATTTTAGAAATAGTTTGAGGAGAATCAAGGTTCATTCTTTAAAAGTTTTGTACGACTGAGAAGTAAAGCCACTGGGACTGCAGTTCTTCTTTATTGATTTAATCTCATTTTTTGTTATGGGTTTATTCAAGTTTTCTGTGTCTTCTTGATTTACTTTTGAATAAAACAAGATTTATTTATCCAGCAATTTGTCCATCTCATCTAGGCTTTCTTGTTTGTTGGTGTATAATTGCTCATAGCATTCTCTTTTATGTATCTGTTATGTCTGTTGTAATATTGCCTGTTTGATTTATGATTGGATTTATCTGGTTCTTTTTTCTTCTTGACTAGTTTAGCTAACAGTGTGTCAATATTGTTTCTCTTCTCATTTAATTTATGTCTGCTTTAATCTTTATTATTTATTTTCTTCTTGTATTTTTGTTGTTATTGATTTTCCAGTTCACCAACATGATTAATTGTTGGGTATTTGCCCCTTTTAAATATTTTTCTTGTGAGAACTAACTGTTATGATCTTTCCTCTTATGACTGTTTTTGCTATGTCCCATACATTGTGAAAACTCATGTGTTCTTTCTCAATGATTTCAATGAATCCTTTGTTTTTGAGAGAGAGAGATTTTTGCTATAGGGTGCATGTGCTTACTGGAGAGTCAAAGAGATACAGAAAGAAATTGAGAAATCACACCCAGGAGGGATGGCAATACTGCAATCCCTTCTCCTCCATTCTTCTTCAGGATCTTGGGCACACATGCACATGTGCCCAGTATGAGATTTAAGCTGCCGGGTCTGGGACTCAAACTGTGGTCAACTACATGGAAATCCAGCCACGTAATCATTACTTCTTCTCCTGGTCCCCAATGAATCTTTTTATTTCAGTGTTTGTAAAGATATTTGACAGTAAATTGTTGAGTTTCCATGTGATGTTTATTTTGGAGAATTATTTTTGTAGTTAATTTGAAGTTTAATTTATTGTAGTCGGAAAGGATACTGGATATAGTTTCTTTGACAATGAATTTCTATTTTGACATATGGTTTGGCTATGTGGGATGAGGAAAATATGTAGTTTGTGGCTATAGAGTGAAATGTCCTATAGTATCTGTCAAGTCCATTTGATTTACGGTATCATTTAAATCCCACATCTCTTAGTTTATTTTTTGTCTAGATGATCTTTTTTGACAAGACAGTAGGATATTGAAATCTCTAATGATCACTGTGTTGCAGTCCATTTCTCCCTTTATATCCAGCAGTCTTTCTTTCATATATTTTGGTTCTCCAGTGTTTGGTGCTTAGATATTTACAACTATTATAACTTCCTGGTTATTAGCTCTTTTGATATTACATAATGTCTTTCTTTGTCCCTTCTTACAGTTTTTATCTTAAAGTCTATTTTGTCTAATATAAGTATCACAGCTCCAGTCTTCTTTTAATTTCCATTTCAGTTAATATCTTTTTCTAGTCCTATTTATGTTTGAAACATAATAGTTATGACAGAAATTTATGAGCTAAAAACCATAGAATACCTTTTTTGTTTGGAATAATTTCTATTTTTTAAACCTTTCAAAGAGTTTTTATCAGGTCTTATCAGAATAATGTAGCACTTGGGGACAAAGATGCAGCCTAGGAGCCCTGCACTGGAGGCCAAGATGGAGAAAACCTCCACAGCCACCATGAACTTCCCCTTGGTGCTGTGGTAGACAGGGATAAATGTAATCCAGACACTGCAGAACACCAATATGCTGAACGTGAGGAACTTGGCTTCATTGAATGTGTCAGGCAGGTTCCTGGCCAAGAAGGCCACAATGAAACTCCCCAGAGCCAAGAAGCCCAGGTATCCCAGGACACAGTAGAAGGCAGTGACTGACCCCTTGTTACACACAATGATGAGGCTTCTGGGCTCAGAGTGTGTGTCTATGTCAACAAAAGGAGGAGAGGTTCCCAACCAGATTCCACAGATAATCATTTGTATACGAGTGAATATGGGAATGACAGAGTTCGAAGATCCTGATAGCAGCAAGAACCTCATTGTTCTTCCAGGCAACATGGACTTGAATGCCAGAATCACCGTAATGGTTTTGGCCAAAACAGTAGAAACAGCTACAGTGAACACAATTCCAAATATTACTTGTTGGAGGATGCAGGTGATTGCCTTAGGATGGCCAATGAAGAGTATGGAGCAGAGGAAACATAGCAAGAGGGAAGTGAGTAAGATAAAGCTGAGAGCCTTGTTATTAGCTTTGACAATGGGTGTGTCTCGGTGCTTTAAAAAGATCCCCAGTATCAGAACTGTGGCCACAGAAAAACACAGAGCTGTGCAGGCCATGGCAGTCCCCAAAGAATCTTCAAAAGCCAAGAATGTCACAGCCTTGGGGAGGCAGCAAGTTCTCTCCCTGTTTGGATACTCTTGAACAGGACATGGGATACATTCCTTTGCATCTGATGAAAAAACAAAGACCCAGCATTTCAGTTTCACAAATGTTTTATCTGTTTCATGTTGAAAGATGATCACCTTTATGTCATTTTAAGTAAAACAGCCTCCCATTCAAAAGCCAAGAATGTCACAGCCTTGGGGAGGCAGCAAGTTCTCTCCCTGTTTGGATACTCTTGAACAGGACATGGGATACATTCCTTTGCATCTGATGAAAAAACAAAGACCCAGCATTTCAGTTTCACAAATGTTTTATCTGTTTCATGTTGAAAGATGATCACCTTTATGTCATTTTAAGTAAAACAGCCTCCCATTTAATACTAAGGTAGATGAATTTAAAAAATTTTGGGACCAGCAGTTAGCGTAATGGCTATGTTGCTGGACTCCCATGTAGAAGACTGCCGTTTGAGTCCCGGACCAGGTGGCTTAAACTCATGCTGGGTGCATGTGTGTGTCTGCCCAAGATCTGGAGAGGATAATGGAGGAGAAGGGATTAGTGCATGGCCATCCCCCCTGGGGGGTGACTTCTCAATTTCTGTCTCTCTGTCTCTCTCTTGTCTTTCTGGTGAGCACACAGGCCCTATAACAAAACCTTCTCCACAAGAAAAAAAAAAGTTATTGATGACTCTGTGAGAATTCTTACAGTTGCAGATAACATTAAACACATTGAAATTGGATCTCAGCATATGAGGGATATTGATTGGGCCATCTTGTCACTGAGTGAGGTTATCAGCACATAAATTCATTCCAAATCTGTTTTCTACTCTCCTGGGCTTTCTTCATAAAAAGTCTTTGATTCCCCTGGCTTATGATATTTGTTAACATGATAAAAAAAAAATAGCATCCTTGTGGGTGCATTCTAACTCTCCTAGGATTGCCTTAGGACCAAGAGCCCGCCAGCATGTGCCAGGTTGCATCCTTCCTCAACCTGCCCACTTAGAGAAGTGGATTTTGGTGCTGGTTCTTATGCCAGGGATTCATTGAAACTTTTTGAATTTGCCTTAACATTTTGAGCCCTCTCTACTAATGTATATATATTTGGTGCATCCCCAGCTCGTTAGGATCTGAATGTTTTGGATAGGACAGAACTTTCTCTGCCCTTGTTACACACAATGATGAGGCTTCTGGGTTCAGAGTATGTGTCTATGTTAATAAAAGGGGGAGAAGTTCCTAACCAGATTCCACAGATAATCATTTGTATAAGAGTGCATATGGGAATGACAGAGTTAGAAGACCCTGATAGCAGCAAGAAAGTCATTGCAGCTATGTAAGTGGCCACCTAAATAGACCCTGCTCATCTGGAAGAAGAGGACTTCTACCTGAAACATACTTAAATTCAAGGGCTAATATTTCCTCCTCTGACATTACAAAATCTACTTTAATAGAAAGAGTGAGTACTTCATCAGATGACCAAAAACCAGTACAGAGACATAAGAAAGAAAAACAACAACAATAACAACAAGGTATCCTTTCCTCATGGGAGCTCATTAACCCCTCACCCAGAATAGACAGCACCAAGAATTCACAGAAAGTCAGAAAAATATTCAAATGTTAGTTGTAACAAAACTCAATGAGCTGCAAAAGAAAACAGACACTCAGTTTCTGGAGATTAGAAAATCATTCCATGACATAAAAGAATTCCACTAGAGTGATAGGCATCCTACAAAGAATATAACAGACCTTCCATAAATGAAGACTACAATATAAGAAATCAAAATATCCCTGGAAAGCATTTTTTAAAAACTCAGCAGAGTGGATCATGCAGAAAAATTTCTGTCCTTGAAAATAAAGTTTCCAAAGTAAACCATATCTCCAAAAGGAATGAAAAAAGTAAAAAACCCAAAGAATGAGGGTAACACATGGAAATTTTTAGACAGCATTGAATGCCGGAATATCAGATTCTTGGGCCTCGTCTTGGCAGGACTCTTCTAGTGAGTGCACTTCTACCTTCTGGCATTTTTGGAACCCGTAGCTTTTCATCTGCATTGCCTGCTGCCTGGACTCAAACCCTACAGTGGGCACTTGGGCCTGGTCTTACTACGCTTCTTCTTGTGAGTGAACCCCCAAATCCTAAGATTATCTTTGAAAATTGTAGCAGATTACCTGCCCAGCACTCCCTGCTCCTGGATTCAGCCCTCCCACTGGGACACTTGTGCTTTGTTTTTTGGAGGCCTGTCCCAATAAATGCACACCAACCTTGTGAGATTACCTTTGGGAATTGTGGCACTCTGTTTCTGGCTGCCTGGGCTCAACCTATCCACTCAGACATTGAGGCCTGATTTCAGCAGGCATCTTCTGGTGAATATACCCCCCCATCACAGGATTTCCTTTGGAATTTTGGCACTCCATTCCCTGGCACTCCCTGTTTCCTGGACTCAACTCACCCCCCCAGGACACTTAGACCTGATCTCTGTAGTCCTCTTCTGAATTTACTCCAAAAAATAAGAAAATGTGAATACTACATAAGATGGCCAAAAAAAAAAAAAGAGTGCAGATCTTGAAGAAACATGAGAAAACAAGGGGGTGTTTAGCCCTTCGATCATGATGGACACCACAAAGGAATTCACAGAAAAACTCATGATGGACACCACAAAGAAATTCACAGAAAAAAAAATTCTGAACATTTATAGTGAAAAAACTCAATGAGATGAAAGAAAACACAATCAATTCCAGGAAATAAGAAAATCATTTCAGGACATGAAAGAGGGGTTCCATAAAGAGATAGATCCTCTAAAAAAAATTAAGAAAAACTTCTGAAAATGAGGAATACAATACAAGAAACTAAAATCTCCCTAGAAAGAATTATCATTAGAGTGCATCATGAAGAAGAAATAATTTCTGACCTTGAAGAGAAAGCCTCTAACACAGATCAAACCCCCAAACGAACAAACAAAATGAGGATAACATACGGGAAATTCTAGATACTGTGAAACATCCTAATGACCATCTAATGGGTATTCCAGAAAGTGAAGAAACTCCTAAAGACATGGAAAACCTCTTTCATAAAATACTATCTGAAAATTTTTGAAATCTAGAGAGACATGGAGAAATTTAGACCCAAGAAATAAAAAGAAATTCAAATGAAGTCAACATAAAAATATCCTCCTCCTGGCACGTCATATCCATATTGGTGAAACTTAAAGACAAAGATATATTCTTAAAATGGCAAGAGAGAAACATCAAACTACTTATAAAGGTTTTCTGATTAGGCTAACATTGGACCTCTCAACTGAAATAATATGGGCAAGAAAAAAAATGAGAAGATGCATTTAAAACATTAAAAACAAACAAAAAAGGGATTGAGGTGGCCAGCAGTTCTGGACACCAGGCAGACTGAGGTTGCAGGCCCAACCATTCCAAATCTCCACACATCCCCACTGTTCCTCCTCCTTGGACCCCAGGTTGGTCATCTGGGACTTTAAGGTGAACCCCAACCCCTCCCCACACGTAATCTGGATTGTGCCAGCCAGCAGTTCTGGACACCAGGCGGACTGAGGCTGCAGGCTTGACCCTTCTGAATCTCCACACATCCCCACTGTTCCTCCTCCTTGGACCCCAGGTTGGTTGTCTGGGACTTTAAGGTGAACCCCCACCCCTCCTCACCCACAATCTGGACCGAGCCGGCCAGCAGTTCCAGACACCAGGATTGAGAAAACAACCATGAAAAATGAGGATAATATACAAGGAATACTGGATACCATCAAGCGCCCCAACAATTAGATAATTGGTATTCCAGAAGAGGAAGAAAATAATAAGGGCCTAGATAATTTATTCCATGAGATTCTGGAAGAAAACTTTCCAAATCTAGAAAGGCATTCAAATATCCAGACCCAAGAAATACATAGGATCCCCAGTAGAATCAACCCAAGAAGATCCTCTCCAAGGCGCATCATAGCCAAACTGGCAAAAACAATAGACAAAGACAAGATACTAAAGTTGGCAAGAGGGAAAAGCCAAGTTACTTACAAAGGTCACCCCATCAGGCTAACATCGGATCTCTCGGCAGAAACAATGCAGGAAAGGAAAGAATGGGGAAGCATAGTCAAAGTGTTGAGTGAAAAACAATTTCAACCAAGAATACTATACCCGGCAAAATTATCTTT